TGATGATGATGATGATGATGATGATGATGATGATGATGATGATGATGATGATGCTGATGATGATGATGATGATGATGATTTTTTTGGGGTTTCCTTAATGGGCCTGGCGGACTCCACGAAGAAATCGTCGAGCGAGAGCGAGGCTCTTTTTCGGCTCCATTGTCAATATACTTAGCGGCCAAATAACTCCATTCGAATTGCCCTTGTTCCTGGACATTCCAACATATGTTTGACATCCTCCTTTTCAAGGATGCATCTTCGGCAACGTGGGCTGAGCTCTTCATTTACAAAGTTCTTATACCATCTTAAGCTCCAATAATGGTCCGACCGCAGTCTCGCTAGTCCCAGCGACTGGTGATATTTTGTTCTGAAGATGATGATGATAATGATGATGATGATGATGATGATGATGATGATGATGATGATGATGATGATGATGATGATGATGATGATGATGATGATGATGATGATGACTTTTCTGTTTCAGATCATACTATCAAGATGAAGCTTCTCTTTCTGTGTGTTGCGTTACTGCCCCTGATCACAGCTGATGACGCCAAACCTTGCTGCATGCCCAGGAAACTGGAGGGGAAGATCTTCGGGACCCAAGAACTGGTAATTCATTTTGGGATTATTCTTTAGTTTTTGTATATTGTTGATGTGTTTTTGTGTTCATGTTTCCAGCTTCAAGTTGTGGTTTTGGCTGCTGCTATTGTTGTTGTTGTTGCTGTTGTTGTTATTTTATTGTTGTTGATGTTGTTGTTGTTGTTTTTGTTGTTGTTGGTGGTGGTGGTGGTGGTGGTGGTGGTGCCGCTTTTCTGTTCATGTTTCCAGCTTTGTGTTTGTAATTATTGTTAGACTCTAAACTGTACTATAGCACACAGATGCCTTGAGTTCGATTCCCAAAAGGGGAGGGTTTTTCATTTCATCGAGTAGATATCGAGTTGTCTGCTGGGATACTGTATCCCACCAAAGATAGTACAAGACAAGATGGGCCACTCAGCCTAAAAAGTGTCCGCAGGAAGTATGCTCTTTGCTTCAGATGGCGCTGCAGTCTGTTTTGAAGCTCTCTTTCGTTTTTCCAGAAGAAGAATAGGAATAGCACTTCCTTGCGTCTTGCGTGCGCAGATCGACTGCTGTTCATCAGCAGTTCAGGTACGTTCAGTGGGGAGTTTTAGGTTTTTTTTATTTTAATGACCTCTCGCCCTTCATTCTAAAGTCAAATTAAACGAAGAAAACCATCTCCTTTTCCTCCGGAAGAGGTTTTTTGTCAGCGTAACCATTTTTAAAAAGCGTTCTTCCGAAATTTATCCCAAAACTTGCTAGTTTCACTTTGATTTTTTAAAACTCAAGTAGGGTAACTCTGTTCGCAAAGAGTGCGCTTTTGTGAAGAGGGCGCCACCAAATTTTGAGGACACTTTTTTAATTGGCTCAAAGAGAGAAGTGGCCCATCTTGTCTTGTACTATCTTTGATCCCACTCAACTAGGGCTGGTCCTGGCAAGCATTTTCCAAGCAGCCCACTTCCGAAATTATCAAAATACAGTGGTACTGTAAATGAAAGTTAAAACAGTAACACAAGTTCCCCCCCCCCTACCCCCCCACCATGACATCATCATCACCACAGCCTTTCTCACACTGCATCAGGGTATAGACCACGAACAAATGTATACTACCTTTTCTTATCCTGGGCTGGCCTCTTCATAATATCCCATGTCTTCCAACTTTTCTGTACATCATTCTCTGTAACTTTTCTCATGGTTCCACGTGGCTTTCCCCTTGATCCCTTACCCTATGGATTTCAATCCCACACTTTAATTGTTATGCGTGCAGCTGCCTGACTTCCTGGGAGTACGTCAAACCCATTACCACCACCTTCTCCCTACTTCATCTCCGACTGGGCTCTGTCTTGTTCTCCTTACTTAACCCTATAAGGACGTAGCGGACATAATATCGCTACCCAAGAATTGCCAAGTTATATCTGCTCAGTACCTAATTTTTGAGAAAATTGACGTCAAATGTTTTGAGTTTCACAGCATCTCAATTTTGTTCGAATGCAATTTTTTTGCATATCTTGATTAGAACTCCTACTAATCTTAAACGGTTTTGACAGAGCAGATGGAACATTTGGTTTCTGAACTTAATGGCCTTAATAACGCAAAACAGCCAAATATAATAAGATAGAATGACGTAATTTTAAGGTAGCGATATATGTCAGACAGCAGACCAAATGTTAAGTTGAGGCTCGTTCAAACTGTTCTATTCTACACAAATCACAGATCAGAGGCACACAAGTGTGTATATTCCATAGTATGTCTGTGGTACTTTGCCTTTTTGAGTTTCAGGTAAAGCAATTTAAACTGAAACATCTGTAAGAAGAACGAATTTATGCTTCTTTTATTTAGCTGCCCCAAAACAGTGCGGCTTCAAACGTTGTCAAAAGACAGAATGTGTGTGCATACTCAAACAGTTGGCACTTCCTCGCCCCCCCCCCAACCTCCCCAAAACCACCTTACTCCACCCCACCCCCCTACACACACACACCTGACCCCTTCACTTTTCTTTTTCCAGAGTCTTTTCGACATGGCCCGGGACGCTGACCTCAAAATGATTGTCTTGCGAAATGCCAAGGACAAAACCGACCCATCTTACACACTCATTGACTACGGAAAACGCTTGATTTACAGGCGTAGCAAAGATTATTCCTGCACGTGAGTAGCTTGCTGAAAAAGGGTCAAACATTGGTTTTAAGAATTATATGGGCCTTATACAATCATCATCATCATCATCATCATCATCATCATCATCATCATCATCATCATCATCATTGTCGTCGTCGTAATCGCTGCATCATGACTATCGTCTGTCTGTCTGTCTGTCTGTCTGTCTGTCTGTCTGTCTGTCTGTCTGTCTGTCTGTCTGTCTGTCTGTCTGTCTGTCTCTCTCTCTCTCTCTCTCTCTCTCTCTCTCTCTCTCTCTCTCTCCCCCTCTGTCATAGATAGATAGATAGATAGATAGATAGATAGATAGATAGATAGATAGATAGATAGATAGATAGATAGATAGATAGATAGATAGTCTAGCACGCTCCTGTAGAAATCAGCGGGACGGTGAAATCTTCTAGTTGTATTCGCAATGTACGGTTGTTAAATGCGAGGAAAATGCATGTTATGAGTGAGAAAATATTCGCAACCTGGTAATCTGTTCTAGACAGAAGAGGGAGGGAAAGAAGAAGAAGAAGAAGAAGAAGAAGAAGAAGAAGAAGAAGAAGAAGAAGAAAAAGAAGAAGAAGATATTTTTATACTAATAATACTAATACTACTAATATGTACTACTACTACATGTACTACTAATACTACTTCTAGTACTAATACCAGAGACCAAGCAACGTAAACGTCGACGTTGCTAGGTCTCTGCTAATACTACTACTACTTCTACTACTACTTCTACTACTACTACTACTACTACTACTACTTCTACTACTACTACTACTAC